CCCTTCTCATATTTTGTAATGGCAGGGTAGTTTTACACTCAGACTGCACCTTCCTTCTGAAGCTTGTCTCTCAATTTCCCTTTAGATAATCCCTTTCTAATCATCCTTCCGCTGCCTGCCTCCTTGAGATAAGTGAAGCATCATTCTTTAGAGGGCACTCTTCTATATCTTTCGAACATCATCCTTTTGAAGGTACACTTATCTCTTTTTCTGCCACTCTAGTTGAGGGAAATGTCAACTGGTGTCTTCACAACATCTTGCAGAATCTGTTGTCTCAGCCATGTGCTATCAATTAGCTTGCCTCCCAGTCCCTTTTCAAGAGCCATAGCTTCCTTTTCCACCTTTCTCAGAGAGATGTCACTTCTACAACATTGTGGAATGATAATATGGACTCAGCCACCCACATTCTCTATACACTACTGTTTTGATAGTAATGTCTGGGCTTGTGCAGCTTTTAACAGAGCGAGCCTTTCTTCATCCACAGAGACCACAGGCTGCTTACCTGTAGTTGTGGTTCTTCAAAAAGTCATCTATGAGCTGGCAATCTTACCTTCCACCCCACTTTGAAGCCTCACATTTTTTATTTCTTCCAGTACACCTGACTTGAATCCAAGAGGCAAGCAGAAACCATGCATAGAGCATGCTCTAAGGAGCTGGGCCTGAAGCTCCGTTCAACCCTAGAATGTTCGTTATGACTGTTCTGTGCATGCACATTATTTTCCACATGTGTGTAAGTTCACAAACGACCACTCAAATGCCATAGTTACAGGTAAGTTTGGACACTCTGGCTGTAACTTAAAAATGGTGGTAAGTTTGAGACTGTTCTTGCAATAAGCTTTCTTCACAATGTATCCATTCTCTGCCTTCCTGGTATTTCAGACCTACTATCTATCCTTGTTTCATGTGTGCTGAGCTAAAGCTATCCATGTTATCTCGCCAGTCATGAAACAGCTTACTTCCCAGTATTTACTTTTTTCTCTGAAGAGAAATTTGTTATGAAAAGTGCAACACAAGACAAAAGCTGTTTAAGGGGGCAGACATAGGCCTCTGAAGAGCAGAAGCTGTTTTTGTAAACAACATAAATCAGCTAGTCCAAGATATTTAATTTGGTTTTGAATGATCTTGGAGAAATTGTTGTTTTCCACAAACGTTTATTAGTTTCATCAGCTGCTCTGACTTTTAGCTATTTTTTTCCAAAACTTATTGTGATGAAGGGTAGTATCTGAGGCACTTTTTCCAGTTAGTCATTGTGTATTTGAAATGAGAGAGGGAGAGGATTCCTTCCTACTTTAATGGTATTTATTAAAAAGGAACAGGGAAAGTCATGTAGACCGCTTGCTGCTCCCTTTGTGATAAAGACTGAAAGCAGCTAATGCCAAGTAACTTGTCAGTGGGTTCATCAGCAAGGTTTCTATCACAGCCTCAACTAAGGAATATCAGGAAGTAACCACTCAGTGCATGAGCTGTGCTCCAGTGTTATGTGTTAAGTCATCAGCAAAGTCATTATGGCGAAGTTAAGCTTAAACAATGGGAAGTTTTTACCAGAATAAAAAATGACAGTTTGGCACTGTCTGTTGGCTAATAAATGAGTGTTGCAAAGAGTGCAGTAATGCCTCTACCTAGTGGCCCAGTAGTGGTTTGTTTTTTTAATTATTTAGCTGTTATATTTTTTACCCACTTTTTTTTAAACAAGGAACCTGAGGTGACAGACATTATCCTTCTCCTCGTTAGCCTTACAACAACCATGTAAAGTAGGTTAGACTAAGAAACTGTGACTGGGCCAAGTCATTAAGGAGGGACTAAAACATGGATTTCCAAAGTCCCAGTCCAGCACTATCGCTATTATGTTATACTGGCTGTCAGTATATTTATTTTACTTCTGTTATTTATACTTTATCTGTTCATTATATCTGCCCTGAATTGCAGAAGCAGTTGCGTTTTAACACAGCAAACTCCACTGTAGCACATTTGCATGAATAAATATGTTTGTCCGCAAACTGGTATGATCATCTTGAAGTACAGGGGCAAGGGGATTAAGGTACACTGTGCTGTCTTATTCACCATTCTTTTGAGGTTTACCAAACTATGTTGGCTCCATTGGCTATGTAAAAAACTAGTGTGTGTCTGGATATCTTGGCACAGCCTTCAGGAGGCTTGCCTGTGATGTCGTTCTTCTTTGGAAGATGGTGTTGCATCAGATGTTACAACTGCTTTTTAAAGTGATGGGAACTCTAATCCCCTCTGCTGTTAGTGTTCCTGGAATTTTGAGTAAGCAGATTGACAAACGGGAAATGAGGAAACTAGTAACACTGGTGCTATTATCTTCTTTCTGTTCTTTATTGTTTAAAAGAAAGCAACTTTTTATGCATCAGTTAGCTTCACTTTCTGGTTGCAGATTCAGTGTAATTGAACCTCTTTAGAAGAACAAGGTTACTGAACGTCATTTGAACATCAGAAGCAAACTTGAATGTAATTGGCCTTTTTTACAGCATACATAAAGTATTCCACTGCATTTTGACATCTGAATGATAATACCCTATAAAAAGTTAATGCCTCAAATGATCACAAACTAAATGTCTGAGTTAAAACACCTCTTGCATCTGCTCTTCCACAAAATTCTGCTATCAGAAACCGTTCCTTCCTTTTAGGCATGTATCTAAACCAAGGTGAATAAAAAGCAATATTTAAAATAAAAAATTGATTTTTAAATTTAAATCAAATCTTTTAAATAAAAATGCTGTTTGAGAAAAACTCTATCTATAGTTTTCTGTTTAAAATAAGTTATAGTCCAAAGGTTGTTCATCATGAAATAAGGATTAGTTTTTAATTCTGTAGCATGAGGCTGTATATTCACGCAATGTTTGAGTTTTGGTGTAAATTAATTCCATTAATCCATTCACAATGTCATGCTCTTTCAGAGGTGTTTGGTTTTCCAGTTCTCAGAACTGTGAATTGTGTGCCTGCAGAATTGTGTGCCTGCAGAAATCACATGCAGCTTCTTAGCAGCAAAAATGTTGTAAAATACACATACAGAGTTGAGGAGGAAAAACTTAATCCCACTGCAAATCTATGTACACAGAATCAGCTCCTTTTAAGTGTGAAGTTTCAAAAAATTCAATGACTAGAAGAAGATTGTGGGGGGTGGAAGAGATCTGCCCAAGAAGTGAAGTGTGAGGAGGAGGAGGGGCAAGCTGTAAAAATGAAAGTGAAACCTTTTGAGCAGAATGCTCCATGGTTCTTTGGATCTTTTTGTGTACAGCCTGAGGTTATCCTATTATTCTTTCTGTAGAGGAGAAAACATATAATGGCAGTAGGTTGTAAAAGAGACCCAGTTTAGGAACATTTAAATCGGGTTGTCCAATCTTTTGGCTTCTCTGGGCCACATTGGAAGAAGAAAAATTGTCTTGGGCTGCACATTGAATACACAAACACTAATGAAAGCTGATGAGGAAAAAAAAATCTGTGCATAATTTTTGTGATATTCCTTGTTTGGAATGATATGTCGAAATAGTATTAATAATAGCTGTGTTTCACTTGCCAAGTCACATGTAATGTCTGAAGGTGTCAATTTGTCTGCGCTTGGAAGGTAACACACTGGAAGCTGCACACACCATAAAACTGAAGCCATTCATGTGTACAAATGGCATACGTGTGTCTGTCTTACGTGGCATTGCAAGACAATGTTGTCATCTACGCAGTTCACACTCAAGAACTGCACAATCAAGTTACCAAGAAAATTGCAAAATAATCTCGTAATGTTTTAAGTAAGTTTATGATTTTGTGTTGGGCCACATTCATAGCCATCCTGGGCTGCAGGTTGGACACCCCTGATTTAAATGAAGTTCCTCTATGTATTGCTAAGGCAGGCATATGTGCAAATTATGTAGAACACCATGATTTAAATCTAGTCTTACTGACGAGTGATTTAAATCATGATTTAAATCAAATCCACCCTGAGCTAAACAGTTAAATGCTTCTTTCTGCCCTCCATGGTAAGATTTATATAATGAAAAATCCTTTTATGTAACAATGCTAAGTATGCGCCTAGGTGGTTTGGTGGAAACACAAAAGCATGTCAAAGATTGTCAACCCTGCATTCAGAGCTAATGCCATCTCCTGCATCTTTTCCCTCATGTATTCCTGAAGTTTTAGCTAAGTGTCACCTCTGCTTTTGCCCTTAAGCCAAAACAGTTGGAACATTAATAACTCGATGGCATATGGGTATTATATGGCAAAGTCCCTGAAAGGTAATAATCATGGGCCTATGGATTTTTTTGCCAATTTCCAGGAAGATTCTTTTTTGAAGTTGAGCACCAGATCTCTCACTTTTTGAAAATGCTCCTTTGATTTTAAAACAATTCAAGGGGACCTGCTGTTCATGAAACATTACAGCAGCCAAAGGGAAATGCTGAACTAACTGTATAGTTCTTTTGATTCTAGGCCATGATGGCAGTATACCATCTTTGTCACTTGAGGCTCAGGTGGCTCCAGTGGCTAGGAGAACCTTCTGCCTGCTACGGCTGGTGGCCCAGCTTCACCCCTACCTGGACAGGGGATGGCTTGGCTTGAGTAATCTATGTTCTGCTAATCTCTAAATGAGTTCACTGCAGTGCACCTGAGAGGGATCCCCAAGTGTTTGAAGAGTCACTGCTCTTATTATTCTTTGTATTGTTTGGTTTTATTATTTGTTTTTAGTTGTTTTAGGAGTTTTAAACTTTTTTCTGATTTTATGGTATTTGTATTGTATTTTTATCATTTGTTTTTATGGATTTTGTAAATCACCCAGAGAGCTTTGACTGTGGATAGTATAGAAATGAATTTAGTAATAACAATAACAGTTGTTGTTGCTGTTATTTGGGCCATACTTTATAAAGGTTAGTTTTCTGGTGCCTGTTCTTCTGTGGACTTATGTTTAATGCTTATTTTCTGAACACCTAGTGTAAGCATAATCTTCCCTGTGACTGTGTATTGTCTAAAATTTGTATTCTGTTTTGTTTCAGTCACATTGATCAGACAACCACATGGCAGGATCCAAGGAAGGCCCTTCTTTCCCAGATGAATGTTACAGCCCCCACTAGTCCCCCAGTACAACAGAATATCATGAATTCAGCATCTGGTAAGGAGGAATCGGCAAATCTTCAAGGATGTTTCTGCAAGCACTTCGGTATTGAATAGAGTCTGTGTATCACCCAAGTGAAGTCTGCCATTATCCATCACATAGAAGATAGGTTCTATATAGATTCTTCCCTATGATTGCTATATATGGATGTTTTTCCGAACTAGTTAGAACTTTAATTTAAAACAATGTGAATTTCAGTAAAAAGTAAGATACATGTAATTTTAAATAAACTTGTTTGAGATATGTTTGTCTACTTTTAAATACTATATCATAGTTTGTTTCTAGTTTTTATGTTTTATATGTTAGTTAACATTACCCCTTTTCTGATTTCTCACTTGTCCTATTAAACCCTTACTTGTTGCCTTCTGTCAGAGTATAAATCTTGATCATTTCTCCCCATGTGATCTTGTTGGTTGTTACGTACACAGTGATTTTCCTGATAGGAACTTTTCCTGAGAAATACATCTTTTGAAAACATTAGCATTTGTTTTCTTCAAGCCACTTCTGGCAGGTGGCTCAAACAGTGTAGGGACAGTCAATCTCTCAAAAGAGCAAACATGCCACCTAAATCTACAATACATTATACAATATATTATTGTCTGTTCCCTTAAGTAATGAAGTCTATGGTTCCCTGAGAAACGTTGGGGTTAATACTAGACATGGCTAATTTCCAAATCCAAAACTAGCCATGGTTAGTTTTAAAATTGGTGCAACTCAAATGTTTAAAAGTAGAAGGATGGGACTCTGCATGGTAAGTGATGGTATGACAGTGCAATGTGATCCCCTTTATTTAAAACTGATTGACTTGTTCTGCCTAGGGATCACTGTCTAGTCATCTTGCCCTGTTATTTTATTTATTAGATTTATATCCTGACTTTTTCTTTTTTAAAGAACTCAAGGTGGCTTACATCATTCTCCTGTTCCAGCTCTCAGTCTTATCCCCACAACAACAAACCTGTGAGGTTGGGCTGAGAGGCTGTGCCTGGCCCAAAGTCACCCAGTTGGCTCCATGGCTGAGCAGGGAGTAGAACCCAGATAGACGAGTCCCAGCCCCTCACTCTTAACCACTACACCACATTGGTTCTCAATTCTTCCAGGTTTGTTGTCTTGGTTATAACATGATGGGTGCCACAGGAATCTAGAACAGTATTTAAAGAAGTACTGTCTACATGCGGCGTTCTGAGACTGAATTTGCTTATTCAGTATACTCCAGTACATGTAGCTGTAGGCCTTCAACTAGGGTGGATTTGATTTAAATCAAATCAGTTTAAATTATGATTTAAATTACTAGTCAGTAAAACTAGATTTCAGTCATGCTTTTCCATACATACATGCTTTTCCAACTTCATTTAAATATTCCCAAACTGGGTCTCTTTTACAGCCAACTGCCATTATAGGTTTTCTCCTCCACAGAAAAATAGGATAAACCTCAGGCTGTACACAAAAAGATCCAAAGACTTGTGAAGTATTCTGCTCAAAAGGTTTCACTTTCATTTTTACTGCTTGCCCCTCCTCCTCCTGACACTTCACTTCTTGGGCAGATCTTTTCCACTCCCAACAATCATCTTCTAGTCATTGAATTTTTTGAAACTTCACACTTAAAGGGGGCTGATTCTGTGTACATAGATTTGCAGCGGGTTTAAGTTTTCCCCCCTCACCTCTGTGTATTTTACATTTTTGCTGCTAAGAAGCAGCATGTGAATTCTGCAGGCACACAAATTCACAGTTCTGAGAACTGTAAAACCAAGCACCTCTGAAAGAGCATGACATTGTGAATGGATTAATGGAATTAATTTACAACAAAATTCAAACATTGCGTGAATATACAGCCTCATGCTGCGTCATTAAAAACTAATCCTTATTTCATGATGAACAACCTTTGGACTATCCCATGTCTTAAATAGAAAACTATCTTTAAATTGATTTTTCCTCAAAAATCATTTTATTTAATTCTGATTTAAATTAAGAAATCAATTTGTTAAAAAAAATCATTGTTTCATCCACCCTGCCTTCAACCCATGCTAGTCCTTAAACCGTCTGAATGTCAGAGGATGAGCAATGGTGGAAGAGTTTGTTGTGAGCTACACCCAAAGACAGCACAGATTCTCTTGTGCCCTGATGATCATTTGCTGGAGAGACAGAACAAGACAAATGTCTGTGCTACTACTTTTCTCATTTGTGTGTGTGTTTCCTGTTTTATCTAAACAAGTTACACTGGACCAGAAGGTACTGTGTCACTGAATTATGCATGAGCACTTATTTTCTAATGAATTTTGGTCTGAGAAATGTCTATATCATTCAGCTACACAACTGCATATGAAGAACCTCTAACATCTGTGGAATTGTATGGCTTTCATTGGACTGTTAATGAAATGCATAGACTGAATTGGTTGATCTTTGCACAAGCAGAGTTCAAAGGTAGAGGTCTCAAAAATATAGAGGAGGTTCAATATGACATATGGCCCTTCATATGCATGCGCCCCTAGTTATATTAAAATATTTGGAAACAATATTTGTATATTTGTACCTGACATACCACATGGTCCATGTAGTTCCCCTGCTGTGAGGTTTGTATACAGATGTGAGGGGCAAGGGGAGAAGAGCTGCCTTGCTTTGAAGAAAAGTGCTTGGACTAGTTAGTAGTAAGTAGCTTGTCCTTCCCTTCATGCAGACAGAAATAGGAAAAGGCATACCTATATCTCTGAATGTAAAATAAAAGTTCCTACATAATATAATTCATCTGGATAGCATCTTGATGCCTGCCACTTTGCTTGAAGAAATATTCACATGTCAATATGTTTGTATGAACTTTCTTCACTCTTGAGTTAGTATGATAGTCTCATGAGATAAGTAATCAAAACCAAATTATTGTTCTAAATGGTTAAGGTTTGTCCATAAGACAGAGTTCTTCATTCTCTGTTTGCCATTTCTGGGACATGACAGTGTGTGAAATAGTGATCTAGTTTTTAAAAATAATGGAGACTAATATTTCTTGAGTAGTGCTTTTCACATAAGTAATTTTCTACCAGACTTCGAAGCTTTGGGTTGAATCATAAGGTTTTGTTGAACCTTGGGTGGTTGTTCATTCTATATTGTGATTTAACTATTGGTGGTTAGTCTCAAACAGTTCAGTTCACAAACCTTACAACAAAACTTTTTTTTCCCTTTGTGGTTAATATCCTAAAGTTAGGCCATAGTGCAGAGTTTGCACAAAACAACAACCCATGATTCAGCAACAACAAGAACAGCATCAAAAGAATAATCCACAGCCCTATTCTGGGTTGTCATTATGTGCAAACCTCACCTTTTTGTACTGCTATTTTCATAGGGCATATTTAAGTTGTAAATTACCAATTATGTAGCTGGAAATACCTAATTCCATAACTGGTTTTTTCAGTCACATTTTGTAAAATGGAGATGTAGTTTGCATCACTCTCATTTAATTTCTGATGTTTATTTTTTTCAGGAAGTGTGGCATTTTACATAATGATGACCTATACAATTAACGTTTTTCCAGAAGCATTGATTATGTTTGCAACTTTCTCGCTGTGGTCCCTCAATAGTGAGGATTTAGAGCAAATGGGAGAGACAATAGCAGAAACATCAGAGAACAGCTGCAATTAAATTTGCTTAACAGACCTGCTATTAGAATAGAAAGGTTTATATCTTTGAAATTCAGGTTGCTTGCAAGGGGGTGAGAGCACACCCAGAACCAAAGCAGAAGATCACTTTGCAAACTACTGAACTAATATATCCTGTAAAAGAAACCAGCAGAATTATTTTTTCTTTTAAAGCCTTGAATTTGGGATGACGTAATACTTCTGAAAAGGCTTCGTAGTAGCAAGACTTGTACTCTGTGCATGCAGATTGATGCATATTAGTCATTTAAAAGACAATTCCTTGCTAACAAGTTGTTTGCTATTAGAGTTAGCTTTTCTTTTAAGCTTGAAAATTAACTTTGATGCTCATGAGTAGGGAAGGAATGCTAGATATGGGTATTAAAGTGAATGGATGGTACAGAAGATCTAACAATTCAAACCACTCGATTCTGGCCCCAGATGTAGTCAGTGACACAGTGATGCACAATGTAATTGCACTGCATAATGTTAAGAAATTGTACTTGGGAGATGTAGTCAGTTCTGTTTCAACTTGTCATGACTTGTGACTGAGAATGGGCAGCATTATAACATCAGGCATAGCCCTCCACCTTTGAAAACTTCACTTGCATTATATTATACTGTCTTCTGATGGTAGGCAGATGCACTTGGGTTTTTAAAAAGGTTAAAAACTCAAAGGACAATTTCTTCTTAAATTTTGCTGCATGCCTTCTTTACATGCAAGTGGCTTATCCTGCTTTATAAGAGGATGGGGTCAATGTTCAGTCTGTTCTGCTACTTTACATTCTTAATGGCCTTCTATTACAGGCCTATGAAATTGAGGTGGTGGGTTAGTACTTATACATGGCGGACCTTGATATGAAACAGTTGGTGTCCTTGCTGAAGTGTAGAATCCATTTTGATTCCTGTTTATTTATGCAGCTAGTAGGTAATCTTGGGGCAGTCAAACTCTCCAAAGCAAATTGGGGATTTTACTTTTTCAAAAAAATTCTTTGTCATCCATGGACGCTTTGTAGCATAAACAGAAAGATGGGGTCTTGGCCCCTAGTAGGTTACAATCAGAGAAGTGACAGTTCAAAGAGAATGGATGGGAGAGAGGACAGATGTATGAGATTAATGTGAACAAGAAATGTTACATGGATTTTGTTGCACTGGGTGACATCTGGGAAAGTTAAGAGCTTTGTGTTCAAGGTAGATTTGAAGAGGAATTTGAACAGAAATGTGTGGCACTTTATGGGTATATGGGGAGGGAATTCAAGTTGTAAAGGGCAGTGAGTTATAATAGGAAGAAGTATGTTAAGGAAGAAGGAAACCTGATAAGAGTGATTACATTTGGAGGTGCAAAGTTTGTGGGCAGGGCTGTATGTCATAGCACTTGAAACACCTATTTTGCTGTTTGCCATTTTGCATTTTATAGGAAGTCAGTATAAAAATTTTGCAAATAAACTTTCCTCTCTTCTGTCCTCTCCACTGTTTTTCTTTTGTTCTCCCTTGGGTGGTCTTCCTAACTTAAAGAGTTCCCCCTCTCTGCTGTGGGTGAACAGAATTGAAAGCTTATTAATCATCTTCATAATCTACATACATTTACATAATTAATGCGAGTGTTTGGAATTTGCATTGGAACTAAATAGAGCATGTTCTTCTATGATGTCTCAGTGCTGAACATTACCAATGCCCATTAAAATAGAACACTGTACTTCCCAGCCAATAAACAAGTGTTCCTATGAATAATAGACTATATAATTAGCGCAGAGCTTACTCTATATCTTCTAGTTCATCACTTCTCTTAGTTCTCTTATCGGCCTTGTGAGAAGTAGGTGATTACTTTTCCCAGATGGTGAGAAAAGAGGATTGGTCAAGGGCTATGGACCATGGCTCTGTCTCCTAGCCCTGATCCAACACAGTATCACACATGGGATTGTAGAGGCTCATTCTAATGAGCATTCTAATAAGTTTATACAGCCCCTCCAAATTATATCCCACTATTAAATGAAAAATAATATATAACATGGCAAATACTTGAGAAAACCTAACAGGGTTGGTCCAAGACATTTTGCTGCCTGAGGCAAAGGATAAAAAGGTTCCCTACATATTCCCAGTTCTGCATATGGAAGTGAGCTTGACCAGCCGTTGAATTTTCCATCAACACTTAGAAACATAGAAACAGTGTGACTCAGAAGGGGTCTCCCAGGCCATCTATTCTGAGCCCCGGCTCCAGCCAGCTCCGCTCACGACATGCCCACCACTTGTAATGGGGCAGTGTTTATTACCATAGCAGGTCAATATAGAGATTTCTGGACAGGCTGTGTAGCACTCATTAGTTAGTTCTGCACTAACTAGTTGGTGTCCACTAATGGGGGAATTGCCTGGAGGCTGAGGAAGAATGGCAGGATACTAGTGCTGCTTGAGGCATTTACCTTGCTCTGTCTTTTGGTAGGATTGGCCCTGAAAACTTGACAGGGAACCAGCAATAGACATTAAGATTTTCTGAAATAAAATAAGGGAGAAACAAAGATGGAAATATTTGATTATGAGGCTGTCAACACATGAGTTGTCTCCTGCAGTGGGCAGTTACCACTGCCTATAAGCTCCTGGAATAAAGAAAATAAAGGATGAGGTGACTTACAGGGTTCTTTGAGATTTTTCCCTCCAGATATGTGAAGTACTTTCTGTAACACAGCTTTTCTCTCTTTCTCCCAAACTGTCAGAACAATTAAAGACTGAAACTAGTAGTTTCACATGTGCTGTGTTCTATGTAAATTAGTTCAGGTTTCTTTTCTTTTTTTTAATTTTTTTAAAATTAAGCTAACTTTTTCAGCAGGAGCAAACCAGAGCCTACTATGAATTGCTTCCTTCTGTGTTACAGGCCCGCTCCCTGATGGATGGGAACAAGCCATGACCCAGGATGGAGAAATTTACTACATAAACCATAAGAACAAGACCACATCTTGGCTAGATCCAAGGCTTGACCCACGCTTTGGTAAAAGTTCCTCTCGCTTAAGATTCTTTTTTTCCTCTTATTTTTTTACTTAAGACACTTTTGTACTTAGATAAATATAATCTTTTTAAACTGGAGGCCTGTAGCCCCAAGACTTGGCTGACTACTTAAAACTAACTCATGGAACCCCACCCACTCACCTTTATCTCATGTCTCCCCAGTTGACTTGTGCCTCTGCCCGCTTATGCTAACAGCACATAACCAACCTATATCTATAGTGGGTATAATCTCTCCCCAGGTACCTCTACACAGGCATCATCATCTGTCCATTGCCTCCTTGCATCCCAACCTCAGATTCATATTTTGCAGGCCATTCTAATAATACTTAGAATTTATAAAGTGTTGGACTTGCTTACCTATGTTGTCAATTATTACATTGACTCTGTAAGATAAAGGCAGCATTACCTTCCTGTTTTAGATAGAGGTCTTGGGATATTTCATGACTGTTTAGCTAAAGGTACATGGTGAGTTTAGGATAAATACAACATGTGAACAAGGAATTTCTTAGTTCCTGGTTTGGTGTCTATGCTACTCTATACTGTGATGGAAATAGGGGCAGTTGATCAGTATGTGTGTGCCTTCTTTCCACCAACCTGTCAGATTTCAGCTTCCCTTGGTCTTCCAAGTAATTTCTAGTACTTTGTCTCCCAGACAACTCTGATTTCATCCCTGTCACTACTGAGTACATGCCTTTCCTCTCTCTTGGCTGATTTTCCATTTCTTGCCCAGCAGTTACACTAGCAAACATTTGACTGTCCTTCCTTAAGATCATTGTGAACATTCTGTAACTTTTCAGGAGCTTAGCCAATGGTTGGCATGTAGAATTGATGAACAGTCAGCAATCAGGTAATACCAAGATGCAGGATTTTAGAGGGCATATTAATGTGATATAATTGGTCACATTAATATAAAATTGTGGTGAACATTTGTTTTTAAAAAAGCAACATAGATAATCTTGTATTTTCTATAAATATATATAGAATAATTCATTAAGAAATATATAATGAATAAAGCTTGGGACACACTTGACAGTGCTTTACAATGAAGAACTTTCTTTCCACTACTTTTTACTTGTCTGTTTGTTTGTTTGTTTGAAATCTGGCAACCACTAATGCCACACAATTGTTGCTGCTTTTTATATGTAGCATGTATGAGAGATCCAGGCAAACCCCATTGCAGTAAATGGTAACTATTCAACTGTGGAATATATTCAAATATACCTTTAAAAAATAAAGGATTATTTTACCACAATGAAATGTTAAGTTGTAACTTACTTTTTTGGCAACCAATTTTATAATTTAATATGTGTTTACCTATAAGCCTGTACTCGATCCTTTTGGTTTACTTTTCTTTAATTTTAGTTAATATAAAACAGATTTGTAACTGTTAGAAAAGTTGTGGGAATCTATCAGTTCCTCCCAGTGATAGATGAATGGTTTGTAGGCTTCTTAATTTCATGTTCATTGCACCCTGTGCATGCTTATTCAGATAAAAGTTCTACTTTGTTTTTTGGGGCTTACAATTAAGTATGTTCATAGTTGTAATATGGTTGGAATTCAGACAGGTAGACAGAGATTTCTATTGAAAATGGGCACATGTGCATTTTGGCCTACATGGAAATTTTGGACTCATAGTTTTGCTATGAAATATTGTAGGATTGTGTATCCCACTGTAGATTTAATCCCTGCCTGCATACATAAGTATGAATTTCTTTTTTACTCTTAACTAATAAAGATTAAAGGAAACAAATCATAGATGCATGTGTGTAGATGAAGGTTTGCCAGTGCAGTGTACAGGTAGGCCCTAGAAATGTGTTTAAGACATGTGAAGATGGGTTATTGCCTAAAGCTTCATGGAAACAGCTCTGAACTTCTTGAAGAAAAAACTACATCTGTGAAATTGCCATAAATCCGGGATGAAGGGCCTCCAGCATGTGTGATCACTTCCTCCAGAACTAGGCAAAATAATATAGGATAAGGTTAGCAAGGTTGGCTGCTATTTCTGATGGGTATATGTTCCCCACATCAGAGGCAGTTTCCTTATGTCCACCGGTTGCTGGGTGACACAATTGCATTGATGCACTACTTGTATCTGGCTGACTGGTATGTGAACTCTTAAATTCTTAGCATGAGTTGAGAGAATTCTGGAGTCCCCTTTTCCACCCTCTCCTAGCTGAAACTTCTTCATAGTGAGGAACAGAGGATTTTTAAACTTCATGGTGCACATTCCATCTCATCCACCTGGGTTGCAACACCTACGCAGTGCTAAGGAACCACCTGGTCATCTGTCTAGCAGCGTCAGGCAAACACCTACATGTATATATGTTTAAATTGCTTATCATCTGGCCTTTAGCATTTCACTTTTCAGGGCTTCTTACACTAGTGTATGGCATTCTGTTCCTTCCAACTATTACTTTACAAATGTTTTTATATGCTGGGATTCCTTCAAACCAGAGGAGGAGTCTCTGCTGGCTGCCATCTTAATTTCCCATGAATGCCTCTAGGCAGCTTATGTGTTCTTTGTGACTAGTCATGCCGATCCATGGCAGCCGTTTTATGGTTGTGGCCAGAACAGTTTCATGAATTTCCAAAATTGTCCTAAAAGTTTGCCAAACTCTGAAACAAGGAAACAAGTTTTTAACAATTCCATAACTAAAAGATTAGTAGATTAAAGCAAAACAATAAAATGAAACCAGTGCCAGCAGGGATTAAAACCAAATTCCATTGCTTTAAATGCATGTTAAAGAAAGGGTCTTTGCCTAGTGCCAAAAAGTTAATTGGAGTACATGTCAGACAGAACTCCTTGTATGTGGAATGTACTACAGATGGAGGCACTAAAACTAAAAAGGTTTCTTCTCCAGTCAGCCGCTGCTGAGCCTTGAAAGGCAAGAAAAGAACAGGTCTTCAGAGGATGATCTTAGCAAAAGAAAGCAATCATTCAGTTATATCATGGCTGTGACCGTGTTACTAAAATATTTTTAGATGTGCAACTTATGCCTGCTTTACTGTGGGAAGCAAGCAATATGGGGGAGTGCAGTTCTCCCAAGAAAGAGTCAGTAAGCTGCAAAGTATTACATCTTGGCCATGTGTTGATGATCTGAGAAGAAATTGTATTTTGTTTTGTTTTGCTTTCCTCCTTTTTCCCATGCAGTTGTTGCTTCCTCTCCCTTCCTCCTTCCTACTCCTACTTCTGACAGTTGTTAAAGACTATCTAGAGTTAGTGCAAAGGTCACAAGCTGGATACATCTCCATTCTGGAAACACATATTGGGTTTGTTGTAAAAAATGATACCTCCTTTCTCTGAGGGATGCAACTACTTGTCTTAAGCATTCAATCTGGTGCACTGTTTCAAGTTAAAAGCCTTAGTATACAAAAAGAGATGCATGCAACTGTTCTGTTTTTTGAACTGCATAGTTTCCCTTTTCGGGCCCACTGTGTATGCTTAGTCGAGACAAGCTTGAGTAAATGCCAAAAGATTTTTTAAGCATTATTTTGTGGTTGGATTTCTAATCTGTTCCAGGCCTTCTCAGTCAAAGAGCTCAACTGAAGGGGAAAGCAAAAGAGAAACACAAACATGTGGGCTTTTCTGATCTAGAGTGATGGTAAATGGAAGGCAGGCTTCCTTGAAACTGTACATTGCAGTAATGGTGGCTTTTCCACTTTCAGATAGTTGTGCCAAGGAAACTGTTCTGCTTGCAGCCTGTTCTTGACTGATCTCCTCTGACAATTTGCAGTGCACCATGGAAATCCAAAGTTAGTGACTTGGATCCTCACCTTCCGTGAACAGAACAGAATTCATGTTCACAAATAGGCCTTTTCTATGGTGCCTCCCTTTCTCCCCTGCACCACCTGAAAATTCTGGTGGCAATGGAGTAATGACCCTTGAGAAGGGTTATGGGACATAGCATGGGGAAACATTAGTGGATATGGTAGACATAGTTCGCCTACCCCTTGCTTGAATGGAAGAACAACTTAGGATAAAAGTATTTGTGCCTAGAGCGTTTATTACCCGGGGCAGCCTTATCATAAGGCCAAGGCAAAGTGGTCATCTCAGTCAGTGGCTTATGCATGCAGTGAAAGGTAAAAGAGTGAAGCATAGGCCACAATATTTTGGAAGGTTCTCCTGTACAACTGCAGTATAATGAACAACTGTGCTCTTGTGCATTTACTATTGCTTTTGGTTAAGAGCATGCAGATGAATTTCATGGTGAGCCATGCACTGTATTTTGTAGTGGAGGAGCTTGATTTTCCTTCTGATGTACCAAACTGTCTTAGTCTAATCCCATTTGGCTTCAATTCTTTGTGCCTCCAACAGTTTAGGATTACAACTCTAGGTTAAAAATAGAATGATTCAGAAGCTTTAGTTTAGGAAGAAATTTAAAATTTTGTTCACCTGAATTGAAAGTTTTTCATTGTGATCACTGAAAACAGTCCCAGCTGATTCCTTAATTAAAGAACAAAGGAGGGGAATTAATGTTAAAGTTAACAGAACTAGACTCCTCTATCCTTAGAAAACATCTACTACATAAGATGGAGATTTTAACCGCAGTAAGCTGCAAAGTTCCACAGTTCAAGAATAGGAGATATCAGATGAATTGGAGATTGGCCGTTATGGAATTCTCCTTCATAGCCAGCTAGCAAGATTAAGAAGTGGTTCTTATTTTCCTGTTTTGTTCTTTCTGGATGGAAGCACTGGTAATGAAATAAGGCATCTTGTTTGCAAATTCCAGGTTCTTCTGATTCAGCTTTTTAGAGAAGAGCTTTCAATTAATGCTGGCCATTTTAAAAGCAGGTACCTAGGTATATATAAATCGTTTGCAGAGATTTAGTGGCCTGCTTTATAAACTTGTAATATTTGAACTGGATAAAGTTACAGGGTGTCTTTCTCTCCCCCTTCCCCCCTTCCCACTTTTCTTTATGGAACATGCATTTTTATAAAAATCCTCTCTAAGTGCATTTGTGAGCCTCTCCAAGTTTAACTAG